ATATATATATAATGTACCGAGCTAGTTGTTCTGTAGTTGTTCTGTTTTAAAATAAACATTTGGGTAAAATTGTCACCAACTGCTTTTTTTTTCTGCTTTTGTAATTATTGTGAAGTGGCATTAAAGAGGTCTGAAAAAGTCTTAAATTTAACTTGCTTTAAGCTGTAGGAACCCTGTTTATAAAAGGTGGAGAGGTTTTCTGACGTGGTTCTCCTCTGCAGGTGATCCACAACCTGAGCATGTGGTCGGCCAGAGACAAGGTGATGACGTACGACCAGTGCAAGTCGGACGCAGCCAGCGCCCGTAAGGACATGAAGCTGGGCCCGTTCGACGTCTGCAGGAAGGTGTTCGCCTCTGGGGAGGACAGCACCCGCATGAGCCTCATCGACAAGTCGGACCTGTTCTTCCACGACTACTCGCTGGCGCCGCTGTTCGTCCAGGAGAACTACGTGCACGTCCGTCCAGCCGCCGCCCGGTGAGACGAGTGTCCCGGGTTCTCCCGCTAACGTCTGTCCATCAAACTGTCCTTTTTTTATTGTCCCTGTCCTGTCTTTAACCACAGCGGAGACTTGAAGGCACACTTGGTGCTGCTCAGTAAGACGGCCGACTCCATCTGTGACGGTGACCTGGTGGACAGACAGATCCGCTCGAGACAAAACTGGTCGCTGCTGCCCACTCAGGTGAGGTATCCACAGCAGCAGGGACCCTGCCACACAGTGTTAGTCACAAGTTTAAGTGTGTGTGTTTGTGTGTTTGTAGGCCATCTATGCTAGCGTAATCCCAGGGGAGCTCATGAGGGGCTACATGGCTCAGTTCCCAGTCTTCCCAAGCTGGCTCGGCAAGAACTCCTCAACTAATAAACACGCCCGCATCATCCAGGAGCTGGCCTGTCACATGAGCTTAAAGTGAGTCTTTAATGAATATTTTCACACATCCATGATAAAAACCTCACCTGGATGTGTTTCCTGCAGGACGATGGGCAGCAGGCAGGCGGTGAACCTGGACTACCTGCACTACCTGCGGCTGATGCTGCTGCAGCCGCTGCAGAAGCACGGAGCGGAGGGCGCCACGCAGGCCGTGCAGCTGCTGGACCACTACCAGCTGATGAGGGAGGACGTGGACAGCATCATGGAGACCAGCGTGTGGGGTGGACAGCCTGATCCTTACTCCAAACTGGACTCCAAGGTTATTCTCTGATCACTCTAGCTCTTTTTTTTTTACTCCTCTTCAGCATGTAGTTTTGTTGTGCTGTTTTCACAACAAGCAGCTGCTCTCCACTGAATCTAAATGATAAACTCATAGAGGCGACTGTTCCTTCACCTCTGCTGCTTTTGTCCTCTGCAGGTGAAGGCGGCGTTCACACGGGCGTACAACAAAGAGGTTCACCTGACGCCGTACTCCCTGCAAGCCGTGAAGAAGGCTCGCCGTGGCGGAGGCTCGGAGTTAGGAGGGGAGGACATGGACCCGGATGGGAATGGGTCCGAGGACGAAGGGGAGGAGCTCCAAACTGACGCTATGATCAAAGTAAGCTCATTCACAACGACCACGATATCAGCTTTTTTAATTTCATTACCGACTTTTCTGGTTCCTCCCTGCAGCAGAAGAAGACTAAAACTACGAAAGAGTCAAAAAAGAAGAAGGAAGACTCTGGGAAAGGTAAAGGAAAGGGGAAAGGCAAGGCTAAAAAGTGACAGACTCAACCTTTCCTCTGCCCCAACATGGATCCAGTTACAGACATGAAAATGAAGAGAAACTGATATTAAACTCAGCAACTTTCATCGCTGAGATCCAACATGTTGACTGACGCCTCATTACTGAACAAATGTTGATATTAGCTGCTTGTTTATTTAGTATCATGTCTGAGTACATCTGCAGCTGTACATCAGGAGAGTCTCAGTTTACAGTCCTGGCGCTGTGGATGTAAATAATGACACCATGACTGAGAAGACTGTTCCATTGTTTGTTTGTTTTTTTGCCACTGCTAAATTGCTTTTGTATTACGGTTTATGCCGATTATCTTTTTCTTGTAAATTGCAATTTTACAATAGAGAAACATGTTGCTCATTAATGTTTGGGGTTTTATTTCTAAGAAGCCAAACGCAAACAGCTACAGTCAAAGTTTAACAAATGATTTTAGTTTTTTAGTTTTTTGTAATCAGATATGAAGCACTCCATTCTCAGATATTCTCAACAGGGAGGTGTCATAAAATACACAAAATGTTACAAAAAGGTAGAATTAGATAAAATTTAACATACATTTAAACCAGTTTTCTCTTAGGTTTTGTGGTTTTTATCTCCATTTGTCCTGTTCTTCACTGATCCAGGTCWTCAGTCTGCAGGTATTTAGAACAATCTGAGATCTTCTTCACCTGGTCGGCGCTCAGATTCTCAGAGCACATGGGACACATCGCCTCTGTCTCCAGCAGCCTGAAACAAAGTTAAACGTAGCTCAGTTAATCACGATGAAACAACAAAACTGAAATATTTTTGAACATTTTCAGAGAAATAAACTGAGAAGCTTTGAGCTCATAATTATCATCTTAGAACTTCAGTGAGAAACTGAGCGATTCATGGTCAGGAAGACGTTTAACTTGCACAGAAAACAAATTTCTGTAGCCTCATAATTAAACAATTGTAATTAGGAGAATCCAGTTTCAAAGACCCTGCCTGTGGGTCCCTCCCAACATTACAAATACTTCTGATGCCACTGAAACGTAACAATGTAAGGACAATTTACGGTTCTCCATGTGTAAAGATACAGAACAAGTTAGAAATAGACTGTTGCAGAAGTGCAGATAGTTTGTTTCTTGTTTTCTGTTTCTGAACATCACAAACATCTGTAATATCTGTAAAATTACAAATTGGAAAATCTGTTGGCAAATCTATGGCGTTATATTGCCATAGTTTTCAAATTGTCATTTTTACAATCACGTCATAAAATTTATGTTCTAGATACAGTATTAGTTTTGGTG